AGAAAAACCTATTTGCCACGGAATGTATATCCGAATCCACCTTGTTCACCGATATTGCACGCTGACTTCCTGGCCGACGTCTGCCATGTTTTGGTTCTAACACGAAAAGCATCGTGTTGCAGTGCCAAAAAGGTCCGCTTCGAACTTCGCGGGTGCCGGGTTCAGTTCAGGTTGGGGTGCAGTCTTTGTCTTAAACATGAATTACCTTGAGCAAGAAATTAACAACATGCTGTTTCAAACCGGATTTGCACAGTCGTTAATGCGTCAAACTCAGAACGGAGAGGTTCAGATTCTGGATGCGGTTGGGGGTCATTCGTTGTTTCTCCGTTCGAGGCTGATAAATGAGTATCACTTCTGTGATTAGGACGCAGGCTACTACACACGGCTGTAAAGAGGCCATATCACTGCTGCAGACTCTGCCTTTCAAATAAAACACTGATGTCGTGGAAATGGAAATCGGAGTTGCGACATCAACTTCATGAAAACAAGGGCGCTAGAAATGGCCCGTCATTAAAGTTAACGAAGACTGATTACAGCGGTTACAAACATTCCTTTTTTTGATAAGCTTGGTGGCTGGAGTCGAAGGTCGAGGCTCAATCAGTTTATCTAACAGTGCCAAATTCCTTTTCTTAATCTACACATCAGCATATGTGAATTTTCTTCGAGAAAGAACGAGTCATTTCTTACGTGGTAGGGTTTTTTAACCTACGTATACCTCATTGTTCGTCACCATGTATAATTGTTGACAGTGCTGCGTCGATAATCCTTTGAAATGGTACGTCAGATTTATGTCTGAACTATAGCACACCTCATGCTTAAATGCTCATCTTATATTGAAGACATCAACCACTGATAGCACGTGAAAAGTTGCGTTAAAACCTTGTCTGAAAAAATTTATGATACTCGCTAAAAATTCAACCTCAATCGACATCGTAGAGGAGGTTTGATCAGATGAGAAGTTATGGGACCAGGATGAAGTACTGTAAGGTACCTAATGAATATGGTGTGAATAATGGACTAACATTAAGCCGGAAACGGCCAGTTAATGAAGCAGGAGTAACTAACGGCTGAAAGATCTATATGCATTGTTTCGGATAGCCTATGAAAGCTATAGTGGAAAAAAGAGCCATTGCCTTTCAGTATTTCCAAGTTGAAAATGTTAAATGATGCATCAACGTATGTGCCCTCGTCACAGAGGGCGAAGTTTGAACTAGAATTTCATTCATTCATCCTTAAGCCTCGCTTATCTTTTTGGGTCACAGGAGTAAATCTCCAGGAGATCGCCAGAGCGACAAGG